TTCTGATCACTATGGCTTGTACCATACAAGCCCTTCACTGGGTGGCCTGACAAGGCCAGTGGTCTTGTGGAGCCAGCAGGACGTTTGCAAGTGGCTCAAGAAGCATTGTCCTCACAACTACCTCGTCTATGTCGAGGCCTTCTCCCAGCATGCCATCACTGGTATGGTTGGTCATGGGTTAGGGAGGACCAGGATGCTCAAGAGAGCCTCCACCTCACTCAGTCAGCCTTGTCTTCACTTGTATCCTCCAGAGTGAGCCTCCTTTCTGTACCTCTGCTGTTTGTGTCTCTCCCTCTCTGCCTCTCCCAGTCTCTCTGCTCTGTCTTTTGATGTTTCTTTGATTGGCCTCTATCTTTTGATCAATCTTGTCTTTCTCTGCCTTTCTCCCTTTAAAAATCCCTACTCTACTTTCTTAGTCTTTGGTGGGTTGTTGGTTTGTTTTTGGAGAGTCTTATTATGTGGCCTATCTACTTTGCCTCACTGCCTTCTTCCTTCTCTCTTCCTAGGCCGAGCCCTGCTTCGACTGAATGCAGATAAGCTGCAGAGAATGGGGTTGACCCAAGAGGCCCAGAGGCAGGAGGTGCTGCAGCAGGTACTGCACCTGCAGGTGCGCGAGGAGGGGCGGAGCCTGCAGCTGCTCAGCCAAGGTTAGTAGCAGGGACCTAGAGTACCACCGGGTTAGGGGAAGGGACTAGGCTGAGGGTGTAAGATGACTATTCTGACCATAGAAGAGTGGCTGGGGGCATCTGGTAAGGACCATCCTGGGGTGTGCAAAAATCCAACTCTCCCTCCTATCCATCCTACAGCTTCCTTCGGAAACATGTCCTAGCTGCTGCTTAGACTTGGACCCCAGACCCCAACACTGTGACCAGAGCCCACAGCCAAGGATGAGGCAGAGCTGGCCCTACAGCCCCTTTGGATCCTAGTGGCTAAACCTAGCCCAGTGAACAGGGAGGGGCAGGACTACCACCTCCAGGTTCCTCTGGAGAGGCACTATAGGTTCTGCCCTGTGGCTGGGTGGGTGGTCGCTGCCTGCTTGAAGACCCTTCTTCTGGGATCCAAGCCCAGGTCCACCCCCTGGTGCTGCTGGCAGCAAACAGGGCAGCTGCCTGGAGTGAGAGTGGGGTTTGAATGTCCCCAGACTCCCAGGGAGTCTGTTTATTTATGCTCCCTCCAACATGTGACCATCCCCCATCTTCTGAGTCATGAGTCCCCCCTCCCCTTAAGTCTTTTAATTCTGTTTTCCCCAGGCACCTCCAGGTCAGCTACACAGCGGGACAAGCTTGCTTGGCTCTCTTTCTGGTGTATCCCTTCCCTAACCCTCTCAGAGTACAGCAGGTTCAACCTGTTGTCCACAGTGATGGTCATCAGCCCAGCTAGGTATCAGGCCATGTGCTTCACTCAGTGGTTACGAAACTTCAGCTTACCCTATCCACTCGCGTGATCTGAAGTTGAAAGGGGTCCAAGATGCTCAAGCTCCAAAGCTAGTATGTGGCACAACACGGACTCCAGAGCTGCACAGGCGACTCCATTCACAGCCCACCAGTTCAGCAATGTTCTCAACCTTACCTTTGAAGAAGTCTTGCTCTTAAGCATCTTCCCTATTCCCTGGCTCTTAGAGACCATCTTGAAGAAACGTGTGTGTGTGTGTGTGTGTGTGTGTGTGTGTGTGTGTGTGTGTGTGTACACCTCTGTGGCTCTCCCAAGAAAATCTGTATTTATAATTTAATTATGTAGGGCTGTTCCTCTCATGTGTCACCAGATACCTGAACAACCCTCCCTTGGGTATTTGGGGGCTGGTGCTGCCAAGAAGGACAGTGAGGATGCCCCTGGCAGCTCACTCGCACTCTGCCCTCTACTAACTTTCCCAGGGACTCTAAAATCTCAGGGACAGTTGAGGCTCAGCCTCCAGTCCCCTTTGTGTGCCAGAAGCTGGCCTCAATTCAAGGTTGCTCATTACAGTTAATTTGGGCCACTGACCTGGCATCTCCCATCCTGTATGCCCTCTACCCATGGAAGGACCACCTTATTGTGTCTGCCTGCCTTTAGAGTCCCCCAGTCCTTGTTCCTGCAACCAGAGGGCTCTCTCTGCCTTCTTTCTCCTCCCTCTGTCTTTTCTACCCTATGCTCCTGTCCTGTCTTCCTTGGTTTTTGGTCACTTTTTTTATACTCTGACCAGAAAAAAAAAAAAATCAGAAATAAATCTGGTTCTCAAATGCCACCAGTGTTGGATCTCTGAGGAGCAAAGGGGTGTTTAGGACAATGTCTACAGGTAGAACCACTAGAGGGCAATAGTGTTGCATTCTGGAGACACTACTTGGTAACTCCAAGACCCCAGGGCAAACAAGATCTTAGGTAGAGATCCTGAGGATGTTACCCCAGTTGGGACACAAAAGCCCTGACATACTCAGAACAACAGCTGGGTACATGGAATGAGGCTGTCTGGAGCTGCTCTAACAATGGATTCCTTTGGTTCATGGTCTGGGAGTGTAGCTCAATAATATTGAACATGGTTTGTGACCCAGAGCTAGGTTTGATCCTCAGCACAGAAACAGAAACAGAGGTCCTCTAAAAGTACAGAAGAATCCTTATCTATTTTACTTGCTAATGGCCAGTGTATTCCTGGGCTCAAGGCTACATCATTAATCTATTTCTGTGATCATCCTCTTCTGGCTCTTACATATCTCCTTTATACTTAGAGTCCATTTGGGTGATCCAGATAGATCTCAAGAACTTTAGTCATACCTACAAAGACCTGTTTTTCCAAATAAAATATCACTGCAGGTTCAGGAATTTATCTGTTGGGGCTCACTTTTCAGCCAGGCCCTGACATACATAGCTCATGAAGCACACACCCTGAACATAGCAATCAGACATACAAATAGGAACACAGGGCCATAAGCCACAAACACAGTGATACCACAACACACAGACATGCCTGACTACATACAAACACACTTGCATATTTGACCAGACACAATGATACCTACAAAGATATATAACAACATCCCCATATGCACAGATATAATTACCCAAGCACATAAATACTAATGCACAATCCCCCACCACTAATACAAATACACAAGACATAGCATACTACATGGTGCACATAGCACACTGCATTGCAAAATGACGACACCTAGACACACACAAAAGCCAGTTGCAGGGAGGTGGGACTAGAGAGATGACACAGTGGTTAGGAACACTTGCTGCTCTTGTAGAGTTGAGTTCCCAGCACCCACTTCAGGCAGCTCACAACTGCCGTAACTCCAGCTTCAGAGTATCTGATGCCCTCTTCTGGACTCTATGCGCGCGCACACACACACACACACACACACACACACACACACACACACAAATGTTTAAAAACTCAGCCCTTTTAAATCCTGACACATAGTTACACGTGGATGTGCATAACCTGAATATCCTACACATCCTACATGCCCTAACATCTAGTTACCTGAATACTGACACACAGGCAAGCATCAATCTTACCTAGAACAGGACATGCAGGTATGCCATGACATTGTGATGCCTACACATGTCTGCCACCTGACACACATGGTCACTTAGACACACACCAACCTGTGGGCACTGGCATTGTGAACACTCAGATTTATATAGGGAAAGCTGATGACCTTGAGTGTACCTCAGTCTGCACACTGACCCCTACCAACATTCTGGTGTTCCACACCCTGGTGGAATGGCAAGAGGTGTCAAGCGCCTTTAATCCCAGCATGTGGGAGGCAGAAGCAGGTAGATCTCTGAGTTTGATGCCAGCCTTGTCTACAAAGTGAGTTCCAGGCTAGCCAGTGGCTACACAGTGAGACCCTGTTTCAGAAAACAGAGAGGGGCCCAGGATGACAGTGGTTTCCAAATGAAAGCCCAATTTTCTTCTCTTCCCTCCCGAATGCTTAGCTCCTCACTAGGAGATGGAGGTTGTGAACAATCCCTGGGCCTCCTGTGGAGCTCCAGGCTCTTCAACTCTACCTCCTTGCCAGCCAGCTTCTCCTCCCCAGTCTGCCAAAAGAGAATTTATTCCTCTCTGCTTCATTCATTCCTAAATCCTGTGGGTTGGGATGTCATTACTCCCAGATCTGACACTAGCAGCCCAGGCTCTGGGCCAGAGAAGCTAGGTACTGGCCACTGGTCTAGGACCACTGTTCATAATGATGGGAGTTGATTCAATAGTAATTCCAATAAAGCCCAATAGTCTTACAGTGTCTAGATTGACTAAGGTGGCCACAGGGACAGTTAGAGACTGGGCACGCCCTGTCAGTCTATGATCGGAGGTCTATTACGGCAGCCTTCCTTCATAGGATCTACTTCAGCAAGCGCAACCAGTCAGGTTGCTTACTCTGTGAGACAGGGTCTGGGGTCGTGTCCAGAGTTCCGGACATGCCTCAGTTTACTGGACTGTCCACAAAGCGACTCCTGCCCTAGGCACTCGTGACAGGCCTGGAGAGAAGTACCACCAAGGATACTGATCTCACAGCCTCAAGAAGCAGGCAGGCCCCACCGGCCCCTTCCCCGCAGCGGCTGCCGCGTGAATACCGCGAGAGTTCGCCCCCTCCCCCCCCCAGCAGTAAAACTGTCAAAGGTGGGAGGGGCGGGAGCGCG